ACACCGTAAGCCAGCGAAGCCAGCTCCGACAATAGCCACTTTGAGGCCTCCGCCCATTGTGACGATGCGATGTGGCAACAAACTGCTCCGACGTCCAAAGATTGCAATGTTCTTGCTAGGAGCAGTATGGGAACGGGGACTCTGTCAGTCCACGGTCAGCACGGTCCTATGGCAAATACAATAAGTCGGGGAAGGATGCTAATGCTTTTCTTGCATGGACAATAGCAGATTGCACACAACATGGAGGCCTGTATGCGCTCAGATGGAAATCGAAGAACACAACGTAAGCGGGATGAAACAGGAAAAGGAGCAATGACACACTCGATCACCCAAATCAAATCAATAGATCAGTATTCGATGCCATAAGCGCTTTTATATGGGCTGGGACAGTTGACGGGCTCACTCAAAGGTCGAGATACCATGTCCTGGGGAATAGGAGCATAAAACAGAGCACGACTCGTAAAAACTTACCTCTCCGACTATATAACACCTACTTGTCCAAGCCCTCGAGCTTTTGTGTCTTAGAAAGCTCAGGGACGAAGACAAATTGCTCATATATCAGAGTGAGACTCGGAGCTAAAAGAACAGACAAACGCTTTGATTCATTCCTTATCAGTCAGCCAGCGGACCACGTGCGTCCATCCTGCATTCTTCTTGCCGCCAGGAGTTTCCTTCAACTTCAACTTCTCTCCAGCATTTTCAATCTAGATCGAATAATACACTACTCTTCGGATTGGTATTTTAATGAAGAATTTATATTCGTCCTCGTCGCCTGATTAGCGAGACGACTTGCCTGACATCAATATCGCTTGGCTATCTCAAGACAAGGGTTTCATCATCATCGTGATCAACACAAACAAGTGGCCATAGCCTCCAAGGGCAAGCTATATGTTCCGTACAACCGAGGCTTATGTCCACAAGGCAAAGACAGATCAATCATTACAAAACGAGCTTCGCTCCCACATCATACATGGAATCACTCCTAGCTTGCTTGCGACATTCAACATGAGCAGAAAGGAACGTCAAGAATATAGGACAAAAGAAAAGGAACAAAGGAAATTAATGGTATCATAGAGACAGAGACAAGGAGGAATATGAAGTCTACCTCCAAGCGCCTTGACTCAAGGATAATAGACCTTGAACACAGTCAAGGTCTTCTTCTTGGCTTGCAACTCCTCCGCCAGCCATGAAAGCTGAAACATCCGCATCAAGCTCTGGCATGGACTTGATGGTTTTGCGATGCGCCGGTTGAGGAATTCGGGAACGTCTGCCTGTTGCTGCTAGATTCCTGTTTATCCTGCCATCTCGTCCATTGGCTTCTCTGAGAACCGGGCGCTGAGACTGATGATGGGAGGCGGCTCGCCGGCGAACATGCGAGACTCGGGTCCCAGGAATCCAGTTTTCTTTGTCCGAGTCGCCGCATTCGATATCCAAATCATCCTTGTCTTTCATAGTATCACGGAGTTTCGATGTCTTGTATGCGCCCGATGGTGTTCTGTTGAGATTGCCAAGGCCAGACTCGAGTCGGCCCAGAGAGGAGATTGTACGCGAAAGTTTCCGCCGCTTTTCACCAGCATGCTGTGGGATCGGGGTGTTGAGGTAATCGTTGGCGGTCGATGTTGACAGATTAGTGTGTCTTGCTGATAAGCTTCGGGTCAATGAACGTTGACCACGGGCAAGCATGAGGTTAGGGGAAGCAGAGTTTGGAGCACTTTGAGAGCTTGTTGGAGTCGACAAAGCGCTTCTTGCGTCCGTGTCGAAGAATGATTCCCAGTTCCGAGGGTCTCGAGATCTCCCGAAGGCTTTCTCCTTCTCGATGGCGCCAGCCCGAGGTGTTCCAAGGACCACCGCACTACTGCTTCTACGCAATCCAGCAAATCGGGAGCTTCTTGTGGAAAACATGGAAATGCGGCCCTTGGACGGGGATGGCTCATCTTCTGTACGGATGACAGCTTTTCCATCCGAGGACATGGCGATCCGGAGAGAGTTGCGTCCCTTCGGGGGAGATGGGGTCAACTCGCCTTCTTTTCGTACCATTGCCTCTCCGTCAAAGGAAAGTGATATACGCAGGGATGGTGGCGACTTTTGAACCTGCAGGCCGCTTGGAGTTTGCTGCTGCTGCTGCTGAAGTGTGGTTGGGATATTTCCGTGCAGGTCTGAAATGGAACGCTTTCTCTTGGCAGAGAGCTGTGTGTCATCAACCGGCGTGTCGGTATATTGCTCAGTCGACTTCGTGTCCGAAATGGCCCTATGGAGCTCTGTTTGACTGTTTTCGCTTGACTGCGACGACAGGCTTGTCTGTGAGCTCAGACTGAGCTGTGCCATATCGTCCTTGCCTCCACTTTCTACCGACTCATATGAAGACTGCGGCACGCCATCTTCTAAAGGCAGTTCTGCAAAATCCCTGTCTTGTTCCCGTCCGTCGTACTGCTCTCCCCCACTCGATGATCCTGGCTCCGCAGAGGGAATGTCATCGCTTGTAGTTTGTCTTAGAGGGCTAGACACGTCCGATCGAGGGGCGACAAGTTCGTGTGGCTGGAGGGGTTTAGACTTTCGACGGTCATTCTGGCGACGATTTTGGAACCAGATCTGGAGCGTTGCACGATATTTCAGAATTAAAAGTGTACGACGCGTCGTACTTGTTCTCAAGGTCATACCTGTACTTCCTTCTCTCCCAACGACACACGACTCACAATGCTGGCGCGCGCTGTCTTGTCCGGTTTGGGATTGCGTTGGTATTCGGCTTCGAGAACCGCGTGGTCCTCGGGACTACACGGCAGCAATTGGACAGCGATTAGCGAAGATGGTTCAAGGAGAGCCAGTCAATGATAATTGACCACTTCAGATTCGAATCAAGCTCATATATACCTTGTCCGACGGCGCTTCTGACGAGCAAGCAGCTTGTTGTCGACTCGCGGGGGAAGGTTCTGAGTGAGGGTCTTCTGGGAGTGCACGAGGAAGGCATAGTTCAAAGTAGCAGATTCAGGAGTCTGTACCGTTGGCGGAGAGGAGGAACATGGCGCAGCAGAAGGCTCGGGATCCGACATGTTCTCGACCTTGCAACCAGTCGTTAGGATTCAAGATCGGAGCGGCATGGGGAATTGGAAGCCAATATAAGAGCAGTAACGGAAAAGAGAGCCGTAGAATTAAGAGGATCAGAACATTGATATGGAGGAGAATGGGGAATTGGATGAGAGATCTGGAGTGGACTAGATCTCTTAGTGGTGCAGTGGGAAAAAAAGCGCTTCATCTAATCGCGTCGCGATGTGGACGCGGACTGCACACCGTGGAGGCGTTGTAGTACGGCCGTAACTAGTAAGGTACCTATGACTATACGCCCGCTCGTTAGTTCGGCCGATCCAGCCCGCCCGCACGAGGAGATTCCACAGGTCCTGATATGGGTCAAATTGATCCTTGGTTGCGAACATGAGGAATGCGTAGGCTGATATTGACCTCAAGTTCTCTACAAGTCTGCTGCATCAGTGAGGGGTTGTCCAACGCTGCCTTACAATTGACAGATTGTTACGTGTGTGACTCCCACTTGTCCAGTTCTTTGATGACCTGACGTATTGCCTACGAACTCTCCAGTATTGACTACACCGACCTCCCACTCTTGGTATTAATCTCGGGCGCATAGGACATAGTATTGGGATGAGGACGGTGTCTAATTCCACTGCGTAGAAGGCCGAGTAAGAACACTCAGGGTCCGGGAAGAAGCATCCAAAGTAAGGAGTCATATGCAACCAATTGGAACAGGTTGGCTTCAGCTTTTATGAATTGCGAATGCCTTGAAGCGCATTCAGACGATGACCAGCTGATCTCGTGCTCATTTTTCTTTCTTACTGCTGCATTTCCAACAACGCCTCCATTTCGGTCACAAGTTACGCCAAGCGGAAAGTTGAGCGTGTTTGGCGCGAAGTCGGCCAACGCGCTCGACGCGCAGTCACGTGCTTACTCCGGCATCTCTGTTTCACGTGATCAGCATCGTCGTCGCAATCCGAGAATCGCCTGACAGTGACAGCACACGCCTTTCACCACATGACTCGGCGGATCCTTCTTGTTTCCTAGCCCTTTCAGATCTAGTTTCCAATGGCGAATTAGTCTAGACTCATGCGGGATCATTTATCTAGAGATTACGCGAGGGTGAGACGCCAACTCGGGTCCTATCACTGAGTCCGGGATCGAGGACTGCTGTACTACATACATGTCGGTGGTGCCAGTCAAGGATTTTCAAAATCTACATTGGATGGTAACCAATGCATCTCCTTGCTCTTTCTCAGCTAGAATATCGGCTTGATCAGCCGCTGAGCGAATCTCTCAGCTTTCTCCGTAGGAAGTACGGAATTCAATCACCTGGACCCGCCATTGTGCAAGTAGAATCTAACTCAAACCTAGGCCATGCCACCGGAATCGAGAGTCAGAGCTCCCAAAAGTGAAAATGGCACCCGCCAGCCTTGAAAACATGTGGTTGCTTGGCTTATTCCACGATAACTGAACGGAGAAATCCCCTTGATATACCTGGCTTGGGTGTGCTTGTTCGATCAATAGGAATACGAGAGGATAAATGCCAGATGTTAGTCTCACTTTTATTTATTGCACCAATCACGCCACTTCATTTTTCCCTGCCGAAGGGATGCCAGATCAGCAAACGAATGCCTCGAGTGGACTGTCCGGCTGAATTGTCGGTTGCTGAGAGTCTTAGCTTGGATCTTTAACCCGCAATCCCCGGATTTGGAGGTCCTTCTCTCCGCTTGCCCTTCGCTGTGAGCCTGCGAGACGGTCCATTGCCCTCAAGTTGGCATGGCTCGCTTCGATGGCCTCGCCACTTTCTTGGTGCCAGCGACACAAGCCTTTTCACTATTTGACGGCTCCTCGCGAATGGGTGAACCTAAGTTTTATATAGAGATGGCTTGTTCCCCCGCCGGCCAGCTGATTTCGCTCCCCATGCGCGCTCCGCTTCTTGCTGGTATTTAGTATTGCTATCTTTGAGTGTAGCGAAAATGGGCAGACTTTTCACCATCAGTCTGGCTGCTTTTGCAGCTACTGGGTCGTTTCTCTTTGGTACGTTCAGGAATGATACTCTTCAACCTCTTTTGGCTTGAATTCTGAGGTTTGGGACGCTTTTGTCCCTCTTCAGTTGCTAAAACACATTTCCACAGTCGCTCTATTCGATTTTCTCGCTAAACTGCTTGTTAACAGGATACGATTCCGGTGTGATGACCGATGTTATTGCGAGTCCTAACTTCCTTGCCTTCTTCAATACCACCAAAACATCCGCCATTATCGGTGCCATTAACAGTACATTCAATGGAGGCGGTAGGTCTTCCCTCCCATCCTTCCTGCAGCGATTCCGCCGCTCACCCACTGACGAATGACTGCGACAGCCGCCATTGGGGCCCTTCAGGGAGGTCTGACGATGGATCGGTTCGGGCGTAAATTCACCATCCAGATGGGTGCTCTTATCTGTCTCGTCGGTGCTATTCTTCAGGCTTCGGCACGAAACCTGGCCATGATTCTGGTCGGCCGTATCCTGGCAGGCTGGGCCGTCGGTCTCATGTCCATGTCCGTGCCCGTCTACCAGGCCGAGTGTGCCCACCCTCGCTCTCGTGGTTTGATTGTTGGACTGGCGCAACAGATGATTGGTGTCGGTTTTATCGTCAGCACGTACGTAACTGTTGTTCCAGTTGGGATGTCCAGGGTTGCTGACAATCGGTAGATGGGTCGGTTACGGATCACTCCACGCAAAAGACTCGAGCTCGTTCCAATGGCGATTCCCCTTGGCATTTCAGGCCGTGCCTGCTCTGCTTCTCGTTGTCGGCATGTTCTTCATGCCAGAGTCCCCTCGATACTTGGTCGAGTCCGAGAAGTATGACGAGGCACTGAGGATTTTGAAGAAATTGCACTACGACGGTACCAATGACGACTGGATTCAGAACGAATACACCGAGATCAGGACGACCATTGATGCCGAGAAGGCTGTTACTGCTCCTGGCTGGCTCATCATGTTCCAAGTTCCTCAATGGCGGACCAGATTACTGTACGTCCTCCCCTCGGCCGCCACCTGGCCGGCAACAACCCACCCTGATATAATCCTAGTCGCTAACCACATCATATAGTCATGGTGTCGCCGTGCAGGTCTTTACTCAATTTACTGGTGTCAACGTGATCGGCTACTATCAAACGATTATGTATGAGGCGCTTGGTATCACCGGGAACAGAGCCACCCTGGTCGCCGGTATTTACAACTGCGTCGGTCCTCTCGCGAACTTGGTCTTCATTGTCTTCATCCTCGACAGAGTAGGACGACGCAAGCCGATGATGTTTGGTGCTATCGGGATTTCCATTGCCTTGATCTGTGAAGCAGCATTGAACTCGCAGAATGAGGATGGTAGCCGCCATGGCTACAGTATAGGTGGTGTTGCATTCCTCTTCTGCGTGACGATCATCTTTTCCCTGTCCTTTGGCCCTTGCAGTTGGTAAGTGCTCTGGTCACTCTGCTTTCAACGACGTTAGCTGATTTTGCGATCAAGGGTCTACATGTCCGAGGTCATGCCTATGCAGATTCGCGGTAAAGGAAACGCCTTTGCGACAGGTGTCGGTAACTGGACCGTAGCTACTCTCTGGGCCCAAGTCTCTCCCATTGCTCTGGGTAAGATTGGATGGAAGTTCTACTTCGTCTTTGTAGCATGGAGTAAGTTTCCTCTATCCAGAACAAAAGTGTTATCTTCTTGAAAGGGGACTAACTGTAATTCTCTAGACCTTTGTGTTACCCTGCCGGTCATCTACTTCTTCTTCAAGGAGACCAAGCAGAAGTCCCTGGAAGAGATTGATTTACTCTTCGGCGGCCGCGCCCTGGGCACTCTGCCCGAGGATGTGGCCGAGAAGGCCGAGGAAACCGGTATCTCGGTGACAAACGTGGAGCACCATGTTTGAGGGTTGCGATGGAAGTATTAGATGAACGCGTCATGCCGTCTATACCCTTCTGTATGAACGAATCAATGCATACACATTACCACAAGCCTTATGCTTATTTTGATCAACGACATGCATAGTCATGAGAATTCTTCTGAGTTGATTCCTGTCTATCCTCCATAGTCATGTACACGACCAACAGGTGAACGGAGCCAAGATCTACATTGAGCCGGGTGATGCTGACACCAGTGCCTACAAAAAATAAGCCGCAATATCACCAAGACATTCCCCTCACTAATGACCCTGCTCCACAGCCTCTCCACCTGTCCAGTCACCACTGAACAAATCATCCAGCTACACGCACCGCCGACCCCTCCCCCACAGGCCCAGAATCCACCCTCTCCAAATGCCCCACAATCATCCCCAGATACTCCCCCGCCCGCGGCGTCAAATCCTCAATCCCAGGGACCTTAGCCCTATCGTCCCAGAGCCGCAACATGACCATCTCATCGCGCAGCGGATCGGCCTCAAACGCCGCCAGCTCCGCCCCCGAAAACGGACCCCCCTGGAACTCAAGCGACCTCTTCGACGCAGACGAGAGCGAAGCGTAGTACGCGCTATCCACAGCCGTGAGATACCTGCGAGCGCACACAGACCCGTTAGTTTAAAGTTTCCTACCATTGCTCCCGTCCATCGCCATTGACTACTACTGCACACACGTACCGCTTCGCCGGGACATGGCTCCGGACCAATCTACAGACATTCTCGCTGAAGCCCAGGGCGCGGAGGTACTCCGCGCCGAGGGTCTCGTGGCCGATGCGGCCGATGGACTGGGTGGAGTTGTTCGGTTGCATGCGGATCTGGATCTCGCGCGTTTAGTCGAGGGGGATGATTTGGCCGATGTCGTGGAGGAGCGCGGCGAGGATGAGTTCGTCGGTGGCTCCTTTGCGGTGGAAGGTCAGGTTGGGCTGGGCTGCGGATTAGGGATACGTGGTGGGTTGGAGTACTGACCTGCCTTCTTTGCTTGGTGGGCGGCTTGGAGAGAGTGTTCGAGCTGGCTGATGGATTCGCCGATGTAATCGCCTTGGCCGTGCGTTTCAAGGCAGTTGATGAGGTTCTCTGCTTTTTGGAGGGGCGTCGATTGGGTCATTTTGTGGTCTGGAGTGTAGGACATTAGGTTGATCGATGTACTCCGTAGAGTGTGATGCGCATGAACTTGGGTATATTGGCGGGTAGAAAAGTTGGCCCGCCACAAACCTGGGATGCAGCTGCTTTTATGTTTGACCTCGCGCTGCCCACGTGTGATTTGTTCCGTCTAGGCTAATCTTTCTTGCTGGCCCGGTTTAGACTGCGTACGTTCATCGAATGCTACTCAAGCGTGTCACCGGCTTTGGTGATGTATCTGTGCCGTTGGTTCCTAATGGGCTATCCTCAATTATGCTTAATCGGGCTATCTAGCTACTATTGAGGACCATATGTCCCATTTTTACTACCATGACTATACAACAACCGCTCCACGACCGTCGACAGTCAGCATCGGCGAACCAAATGCATAACGCGCCCGACCCTCCTCATAAGACTCGCCTTCTTTGCGCATGTGCGTAGCGGGCCATAGCTTCTTGCGATCTTCGTAGTACTGGTCATGAAGATCACCTTCAGCTTTACGGTTGAAGAAACTTGAGGTCCGGTTGTCCCTTGTGCTCGATGAGTATGACATATCAAAGCAGATTGGTTGACATAGAAACGAGCTCGTAGTAAATTCTCCATTGGTAAAGCTTCGAGGATAACTGATCAACGAGTTAATCCTCGCTGGTGATTGCTGTCGGATGAAGTTTTTCATTAAGTCCCTCTCTACGGAGTACGGACTGTTGTTGGAGCTCTATAAGTTAGACAGCGCTAACCGCTTTGGGCTAGACAGGCTAAGGATCACTTTTTGCTGTGTTTCAGAAGTCTCGCCCATATTCTACAAGCATGACCATGTTTCACACTCACCATAATCCCTTCAGATGCATATGACAATCAAGTATTCAAACATAGTGATAAACTTCAAAATTTTGTGATGATTTCATGGGGGACCAGGCCTTCTTGACGGGAAATACTTTCAAGCAGCCGAGAATGGTCGAAACCACAGGACAAACCCGATCTTCGGCAGTCCGTCGCAATGGAACGCTACAGTCCTGCGAACCCTGTCGCAAAGCGAAATTACGCTGTGATCATGGGAGACCAGTGTGTGGCCGATGCACGGTGAAGAACATCACTAGCCGATGCTTCTATCATCCTGCGCCAATGACAAAGCGAACAGTCGCCGGTCGAGCCAGCCCCATTGAAGCATCGAGGAGATTGACGAGTCAGCCAAGTTCAAAGTCAGAACCCTTTCATGTGATCCCGGCTGGCAATGATGGGCATTCATGGTAGAGACTGACTGTCTGTAGTGCCTCAAGTCCTGGCTCAAATCGTGAACACAGTCGATTCCGTACCACTCTGGAGCCGCCATCGGCCCTTCCTGGATATCTTGGGTCGACCAGCTATTCAGCTGTTCTTGCCGAGCATCGCAGTGACATTCCTTTTGAAGTAGACAACAGCTCGGCGGCTGCAGTATCCACTCGCTCTGTTGATTCGGATCGATTGCAAATGGGCTCGGAGATGCTCAAATTGCTCTACGATCTTCCGGTCTGCGATATCATGATTCGCAAGTACCATGCTCGGACGGTGATTACCATTGTGCCAAAGATCGTTATCTATTCGATCATTGAGTCCATCCGAAGGATATTTGACAGTTTAGACGCAAATGACTTTGAATCTCAGTTTCAAGAATTGGTCAACCAGATTTTTCAAAATACTTCTCGCCCGCTGACCGTTCAAGGTTCGATGACCGTGGAGCAGTACTTATCTTCATTTACTGGGAGGAACACCCGATGGGAAGCACTGGGGAATATCTTTGCGATTACCGGAATAGCTTTGATGTCTACACCTGACAGCGATCCTGATTTCACTCAAGCAGCGCCTGATAGCGAGGCCAAAGATCGACTTCGCGCTCAGATCGTTGAGGCCAGTGGCATCTGCCTCGGTTTCTGCGATCAGGCATCGTCGGTCAACGAACTCCTGGGCTTCTACCAGTATAACGATGTCATGTTAAGGACACAGCAATATGGAGACTCCAGTATGACTACCCGCTGCGAACAGTTGATGGTTTGTTGATCGTCATGTAGGTTATCAAGCTTGGCGTCGACTGGGTGATTTGTCTGCCACGATTTACGCTGCCGGTCTCCATCAAGAGAGCGCTCAGACCGATGACTGCCCATGGTTTCTGCGTCAATGGAGAAGAGTTTGCTTTGCTTCAGCATTCTACGCGGACAAGTCGCTAGCTACGTTTGTGGGCCGGCCGCCCCTCATCAATTACCGATACTGCACGTTGACTCCTCCCATGGATATCAGCCATGAAATACTACTTGCGGGCGGGAGCACTCTGACGCAAGCAATATCCGACCTGGACAAGGCGGGATGGCATGTTTATGGGACCACCCACCCCGTTACACTAATTCGCCTTCGATTCCTGCTCGCCATCTTCCGAGAAGAGGCGCTTGAACTAGCGCTCGGCACTGGTGACCAGGAGGATCTCGTGCAGAAATCAAAGTAAGACACCCGAAGCCAAACTATCGACCACTACTGAGATGTTCCGTAGTCGCCTAGTTGAGAAAGCGCGGAATACGTGGGACAAGGCTCCTGCTTATCTGCGCTACGATATTCGTGCGGACGTGGAGGAGAATGATATTTATTGTTCGTCATTTGCGTTACTCCATACCTATCTTGACTACTTGTACACCGTCTTTCTGGTTCAGAGGACGCTTGTCAAACGCACAAACACCGGCCAAGAGGCACTTTTCGAAACATCCAGACAGGTACTGTCGAACATTATCAGGATCAATGCGGAGAGAGATTCGCAGATGGACATGAGCCGACATTACTCCTGGATTGTAGGAACACCCTATGCGACTTGTTCGTGGCTTCAAAAGACTGACACGGTACAGATTCTCTACTACGGTCTCCCCAGCGCCAGCGTATTGACTCTCGAGCTCCTCCGACAGAGCCAGGAAGTCGGACCCCATACCATCGTTTTACCGCGGGCCGAACTTATCCGGAACCTGAGCGTCTTTCTCTCGTGCCTGTCCTGGGTAGCGCGCCCGGGCCATGGGAATTACCAGACATGCAAGGAGGTTGAGAGGAAACTGTCGCATATCCTCGATCAGATTCTCGACCCGCAGCCTGTGCAAGCCGAAGTCTTCAACGATGCGACCTCGGGGCTGTACAATGTCTTGGAGTGGTATAATCCCAACACCTGGGATTTCAACTTCGAGTATCTACCATCGAGAGATGGGTTTCCCGTCTGATCGGTGTTAGTTCATTTGTGAGGTATCGCATTCATCGTAACATCATCAGGCAAAGTCGTAAGTCTTTGGTAAGCATTACACGTCCAGCGCAGGTTCGGTGCAGCAACAAAAAGTAAGAATCCACAATGGCCGACCGTCAAAACACCCGGACTCCGTCATACCATCCATACAAAGTCGTTACTGGGCCGCGACTCCTGAACATAATATGCGCGATGGCAGAGCGGACAGTTGAAATGGTCCTGCAGATACCACTTATCCAGACACTCCTTGTGAAAGACGTGTAAGCATTTGAGTTCTCGGATTTCCTGAGAGCGTAGGACGGATTCAAGGCAGACGACGCTGATGAAGATGAGTGTTAGCTGGTGATGAGCTTCGTGATCGCTTCAGCTGCATGCGATCACTCTCCTGCTGGAAAGTCCACGTACCAGATAAACTGCCCATCAGCCCCTTCGGATGGCAGAAGAGGACCTTTCAATTTGGACCACCATTCTTCAAGCGTTCGTATCGGCGAGACGGCATCCAATTTGCGCAGCTTGTCGCTGGGGTCTTTTCTGTTTTTCTTGAAGGTGGGCGTCCGCTCGCGGCGGTTGACGAAGATGGTCAATCTATCAAGTTATCAATTACTGTCCATAGCTACCCTTTACTTTCACAGCCCAGCTCTGTAGACAGTGATTGGAAAGGACTCACAGCAGACACATGATGATCAATGAGACGACTCCCAATCCTATACCAAGCACGATGACCATGTGATGATTTTTACTGCTCATGTCTCCGTCGCTTGATGATAGCCCCATGTTCCGTTCCAGACTCGTCGATGGCCGCTTGTGTACCGTAGAAACGGAGTACAGTCGTAAACCCTGGCGACGATGATGGACGGATTGAGAATGCGACCGACCGCGGCTCGGGACAAGACAAAAGATACGGAATGAAAAATGAAATCAGAGAGGAAAGAAAAAAAAAAAAAAAAAAAAAAGATCAGACTCAAAGCTGGTATTTAATCATGCCGCACTTGCGCCGGAGCAAGGTCTTTATTGTCGTCTTCTGATCGCCGTCAGTCAACTCACTCATGGCGGGGTTCGCTCCAGCCTTTAAAGTTGGCGTGCAGCTTTATCAGACCATTTACAGTAATTTGCATGATCAACGCACACGAGCCATCTGATCCTTTCTCAATTCTTGACAAAGTACAGAATTGTGGCGGCGATCGCAAAAAGGCAAATCTGCAAGGTGAGATGAGACAACAAAAGTATGTTTATTGCTGGCGCTGGCGGGGATGTCCTCTTGTACTCCCTAACTCGATTACTTACCAGTTATCTTAGGTTGAAGGTAGTAGGTATGGACTACGGAGTATCCTACGCCTAAACTGCAACCAGAATTCCGCATTCCAGCTTGGGCCCAGAGCACAGCCATTCAGCCACGGCTTCAAAGACGAGTCCCTGTAGACATGCCACGGGTGGAGGGGCGAGCTGACTGGCCCTGGGAAACTCTGGCGTTGTCTAGCTCGAGCTCAGCTTCAGATTTAGCTTCCTTGGCGGTTGGACAAGGGATCTGGGTTTTGGGTCTTGTGAACATTGACATTAGCCATTGACCATTCACCCACTATCTATTCCCACTAATCTGAGTAAGGCAGTGATGAGAGGATTGTTGGCTGGTGATAGTCAGATATTCAATGCTGCTAGTTGTTGCTCAATTTACTCCTGGAGTTCGTTCTACCTCCCATAACATAGTTTGCAGCTACTGCATGCAAGTACAGTGTAGCTAGAAAGATCATGCCATGTCATACCACTGTTGTTCTGGGGTGGACTGACTTATTTCCTTTGTCATGTAATCAGAGAATCAACGCAGTTATCATCTATCTAGTCTTGAGTATGACGTGTTCCATAGCCTGCAGCCCTGCACAACGCCTATTGATTTATCCTATCCTGACGATAATTTACCCCAGGTGAAGTGGGGGATGTTTGGGCTCTCCACCTCCACACACGCTGATATCATACCTATTTTGACAGGGGCAGCAAAAGTACTTAGCGGCGTAGATTATTACCAGAGAGATGATTTCTGCAAAAGTGCTCTAATCAACATTGAGACTAGCTGACCACTCTTCACTTGCCTCAATTCCAAGTCTGCGGTCCAAAGGTTCGACCGCGCTCCACCGTTCGCAACGGCACACCCATCCCATCGGCGGTTTGTGCGGTGATTTCGTTCCCAAACCACTTCAGCTGAACACCGGGGTACGCCAAGCAGAAGAAGATGAGAAAGTTGCCGACTGCCAGAGCCGCATCGAGTCCAGCTGACAGGATATAATTGTACTTCATCCACCATCGTCGGTACCTGCGCTTGAGATGGCCGTTGAAATAAAGCCCCACAATTCCCCAGGCCATGTAGTTTGCCGCGGTGGCTGGCGGTATCGATGCGGTGGATGCGAAGATTGCGGGCAGGTGGATCTAGGTTGAAAGTCAGCACCTCAAATGACATTGTATGCGGTGCAGATACCTTTCTCAGCGTTGCTCTGGGGAAGCGTCTGTCTAGAAGGTAGAGGATGATCGGGGACACGGCACCGATGAGGAAGAACCACAGCATGGATCGGTACATCGAGCCCTCCGAGAAGAGTCTTTTCGGGCCGATGAGGCCCCAAAAGGTGGCATTTGTGGCATAGCCTGCAGCAAGTGGGCAAAGGAACTGCCATGTCTCAGTTTAACGGTTCCAGACCTCAGGGTTCTTCCGAACTTACGTTGTTGCTTGCTTCGGGCGTACAGATGTCTTCCACGTTGCCCATCGCCCAGACATTGACTGCGGTCTGGGTCAGCCAAGAAACGATGATGCCGGTGCACTGCGCCGCGAACGTGACGCGAGGAGGGATTTTCTGAATCCGTTAGAGGACACATTGTTCTTTCCTGCTTGCAAGAAGAAAGGCTCACCATGTAGTGGGCAAGCTTCATGACCGAGATATAGCCGAGCCCTTGAGCAGATGAAACCAGAGTAAAGATCTTGAAAACCACATTGTTCATCATCTTGCCTGGCCAGATGTACCCAGCTATGAGTGCCGATATCACAGCAGTCGATAGCTTGATGTTGCAGTACGCCATCATGATACCTGTTGGCAACAAGAGTACTACGTGAAGCACTATAGCCAGGATCAGACCATACCAGGGAAGTCCAGTATCATAGACATAGAGAAAAGCGATGCTGATGCTGAATATGGCTAGAAAGGTACAGCCATACCACCACGTCGGAACTTGTCTATACTTCTTCATCAACTGCTTTTTGTCAGTGGCTATTCCTCATCGGGGATTGTGGTGCTTACCCGCGCGTGAATGTCTGGCTTCTCTTCAGCAGACGACTTTCCAATGCTGGCAAGCAGACCAAACCAAATCTCACGGTGGTGGTAGAGGGCGGTATGGACTATGATTGAAGCCACAGCGGCAAATCCCAATCCATATGAAAGAACAGACGTTGTTGATAGGAACACTGGGGAATATTCATGGTAGGCAGTTTGATTCAGTGAGTAATCTGGGTTCATCACTCGACTCGTGTTGTATGGTTTGCCTGGAATGTGTTAGAAGACTTCTGAGACCTATCAAGAATGACTCTACCTGTATTATCAAAAGACTTTGACGAAGAAAACGGCATGTACATTCCTTGCCAGACATTGCTCCAGTGTAACGCAGGAGACACGATCCAAAGGAAAAAGATACTGCCACAGAACACGTTTGTCAACGCCCATGTGGGCACAAGGAGAGGTGATCCTAGATAGCCAGTAATCTGATTCCAGTCCAAGGTCATGGGGAGAAGATCCATTCCCGACATGGCTCCAAAGACCTGGTTGACAGTGACATTGTTGGGAACAATCCAAGTTATCCAGGCAAATGTTGTGAGCCCTGTGAATAAGAACCCGGGAAGGAACTGATATAGTGCCCCGCATAGGATAACCACAGCAAACAGCTTCATGCGACTTATTTTCCATCCATTAGCTTCCTCGTTCTGTTCGTTCCGTTGGTGCATCGTATACAGCATGGAGCAAGTCGGGAGCACCCCCGGCCAGACGCAGGCTGCTGGCTCAACGAGGAATTTGTGGAACAATCCTGCGATGCCAAAGCTCAAAGCCTGCGTCGTGAGAAGAAACAGGAACCTGTATCCGAGGGAAATCGGAATGTGAAGGAACTTCTCAAAGGCGACATAGACATCCGTTGCGAGAGACCCGTTGTCAAAGGCGGTTACCAAGGACGCCATTATGGCCACAATACAGTGCTCCTTTTGATTGAAGCGTCCTGGGTTGAGTGTAAATGTCCAACCCAGTATTTTCCAAGTTCTTTCTGGCAAAACAGCTTCCATCAACCTTCCGCAGGGGAATGTCACTAGGATGGCTAGGTATGCGGATAGGAATACTACAATCCGAGTTAGTCATCCTACTACTAATAGTTTAAACCAGGACACTCACGTGGTGGAGAATGGAGTTGAAAGAACTGGTTCAACGCTGTAAGGATCACAGTCCCAACTATCCCCAGGGACCAGGCGCGAATGGTATTGACTGGGATATCCTCATCATCTGCAGGAACACTCGCTCGTACCTCTGGAGACACACTTCTCAGGTCAGTACTGCTTGCAAATGACTCCGAAGATGGATTTCAATAAAGGGAAAGACAGGGCATACACATCATCATCAGTATCATCAACTATTTCAAGCCGTGTCTCCTGCGTATAGATCTGTGGCTTAGGTGCTTCAATTCTTTCATCATTTGTTGCTTCTCTCGATGACTGACAGATACTGATATCCACTGACCCCTTCTTAGACTCCATAGTTGAAGCTGAGGTAATATTCAGTTGCCGACGATGTTCTTGAATGTCGGTTTCAACCAAGTACTGTCGAGACGACGAAACAATCCTTCAAGTGGAGAGATCATCGCAAGAGGAGTTGACTGGGTTTGATGGCTTAGGAGAGGACATGATAAATTGGCGAAGATCAAGAGGAGCATTCACTAATTTGAGGTGAATATCCAGCCATGAGCTGACGCCAAAGGTGATGAACGACTGAGGCCAGGCCTTAGCCCGATGCCTGGGTAACCCCACAAAAGAGCTGGTTGGTCAGCCTTTGTTCAAGCAAGGAAGACCCGGTGAGCAAGATAATCCTTGTTTCCATCAGTTAATCACAGAGGGTATTCAGCTTAGAGTTTGTGGATGACATTCTTCTGGTGTGATCGTGTTTCAGGGAAGCAAGGAACTCCAGTATGAGGTTAACCACATTCAATACGGCTTCTGACATAAGTTTTTAGGAGCCAATTGCCACGGCCTGGATTGGAATGATCGATTGCTTCAAGCCTTCAAGTACCCGTCTTCGTTGAATGACAGCATCCCCTGTTTTCCTTTAGGCTCTGTTGGTATCCGACGGGCTCGGGTAGGAGCATTAAGATGAGCGATCATTGTTCGCCTGGTGATCTCTGTCAGGCAGATTGTAGTAAATTCTAATCTCATTGATGACATTGGTAACCCATTACCCATTCTGGTGCATGGATAATACCATAACAAATCAACGATCCTCGCGCATCTCTTCATTTGGGACGATCTGCAAGCCACATCAGACTACGGAGTGCGCCCTTACTTGCTGGTCACATTCCAATAGTTCCACGCGGTCAGTGGACCAGTCACTTTCGAAAGGGGTTTCCTTTGTTGATCTATCAACCCGCCAATTGAGTATCAAGCGTAACATTCGTGTATTACGACTCCTGAAGTCAACAGAATAGCCTCCTTTAACAGTCGAGTTCAGCCTTATTCATGCCCTTGATAAGTGAGCCTTTTCAATGAGCACCCACGAAGACTTATGGACTTCGATGAAGTATTTGAAAGGGAATAGAGAGGTCTAGTAATTGAGCTCGGATCAACTATTGTTCCTCATGCTGGCAACATGCGGATTCCTCTTGTATCAACTGAGAAGTGTCAAGACAGCACAACGTCACCGTTGAAGGCCTCTGATCAGAAGGATTGTTGAAACAACCACTTTTGATAAAGATCAAGAGCCACTTCAGGCTGATCTAATGGGACCTGAGCTGCGTTAGCCTCCGGAAACTCAGCTGCTACCACAGTATGCACTCACCATATGTCCAGATTTATCTACCGTGACAAACGCGAAGCGCTGTTTGCCAGAGACCCCATTAGGGACTGAGGCGAAGACTTCCTTGAAACTCCCAGCCTTGGCTTTGCTACCACCTACGTTCGAGTACCAAGGTTTCAGATCTTCTGAAGTAAATGGTGCCTGTCCATTCCAACGTAAAGCATCCGTCCACCTCAAGTTACCCGCGGTGTTGCATGCAAGGTCCAAGTTCCCGTTGTATATCAACACATCCACTCCATGTTCCAATGTGTACTTGATATCATTCACGGCATTGCTGTACAGATCATTAGTACCCTCAAATGCCGAAGCAACTTCCCTGGATTCAATGGTAAAATTCGGGACAGCTTCCGGAACACCAAGGGCAGCCCAGGTGCTAGGCTTATTTATGTATTTCTGAATCTCGAGAGTTTGCGAGTAACACAGGTGATCCACTTCGCAGGTTCGAGTGACTGACAAATAAGCACATAGTTCGTTTGGGAAGCAATGAAGACCAAGCCTTACTATCAAAAGGATCACGTCCCCCTGCATGTGACTCGTTGTGGTACAGTTCCTTTATGACGCCACACACTGCATCTGTAGCTTTGCACAGAACTTCGTCTGGATATCGATAGCACACCTCATAAATGCTGATACATCTAGGTAGGTTCTCTGAAATGATTTGGCAGCGGGTCTGGTTGAAAACAGGCTCGTCAACGCCTGGCTTCGTCGTGCAGAGCGTCTCGTAATATCCGTATAGTGTGTCGAGCGGCGAAACATAGCCGTTCCCGATCAAGATCGATTGAAGTGGAATCTCTGGCGTTTCAGAGACCTGGTTTTGCCGAAGTATCTCTCGTGATAAGGTAGGAATATAATGCCCCTTCAAGACACTGTCAGTATTGAAACAGTCAACTGATTTCTATAAAAGAAAAAGGAACATACAGCATAACTCTCTCCTGCTAGGTGGAAGGGGGTTTGTCGGCGTTCAGGAAAGACTTCCGTCATGAAGATTTGAAGAAAGATATACATATCTTCTGCAGCAATTTCGGAAGTTGTTGGAATATCTAGGCGAGAATCCACATATGAAAGCCCTGTTCCTACCGGCTGGTCCACAAATATCATCGATGAGTTTCTCGTCCACGAGTAAGGGTTTCTCTCGGTGCAATTGCCTCCGGTCTTGATGCGACAAGGACCTAATTCCAGCATTAAACCTGATCTCTAGTTAGCCGCACTGGATCGATTGTCTTTACAAGCAAAGGAGAATCCTCACCAACCAAGCTGCTTACGCCAGGTCCTCCCGTCAACCACAATGTGAGCGGATCTGTCAGGGGATCATTCAGGCTGTCGAAGTACCCTTCCGTCGCGCGGTCAGCAGAAATATGTGTCTATTCATCTCGGAACTCACAAAAGAATATATGTTTTCCGTAAAATTCAAGCCATCCAGTGTACTGCTTCGACCCTGCGTCGCAAACTTCGTCATTCTGCTCTTTGATCCTGATGGAGTGGGAAGGAAATGCAGGGTTTCTGAACGTCGTGAACGAACCGCCTTCATAATGGCAGGACAGCAGAGCTTGAGGGCCCTCTGATTCTGCTACTGCTGCCTTCGCAAGTGCGAATAAACCAGCAAGTGACCACTCTGCGAGCCAGCGTCTCATGGTAACTTTTCGAAAGGCCAAGTCGAAGAGAAGAAGGACGGCCACGAAACAATTCGAAGAACAGGCATATTGTTCAAACTAAAATAATCAGGGAGCTCAAGGTCATCTGTCAGGATTTTTCTTGTCATTGTGTCTGTCTTGCTGAGATGTGTTTGTGACTTTGTGCCATGTTCATTTTGGTGTTGGCGCTAGCGTTGGGTTTTCCTAATCGGGTAACTGGGAACGACCACCTCATCGAGAATCGACACGGGCTCTCTTTTCTCACCTCCCACGACTCAGAGACTGGAGCTCTCTCAGCAGATGATCGACGTGTTGTTAGATGTTGTCGTACGATGGAAATCAATCAGGAAATTTTGCACCAATTCATTGGGCCCTATGGCAGAAAAGCTTAACTTGTCCCGTGTCTTTTTGCCCGTCCGGCTACCTCCTACTTGTTGGGATCTACATTCGGAGTGCTCAGACATGGCGGACTCTGGACTTACTCGATTGGGAAATTTGTATAGCAATGTCGAGTCTACCTATCTGAGTAGCCTGGTCTTGGCTGTGCTATGTGGCCGGTCAAGTCTTGTGTTCTTCGTCATGGTGTGGAGCAAAAAGGTAAAGATCAAGGGGATCATCTGTGTGAGTGACCGTCCTGTTTACTGGTTGATAAAGCTCTTTAGTTTAAGAGGGAATAGGTACTGCTTAAAGAATTCACTGATTCTTTGTTGCTTAGCGTTCTCGATGCCTCGCCCTTGGTTATAAGATTGAAAGCACGACTTTCCCTGCTCTTCGTACCATTTCTTCACGACATATCCATATACCGAATGTCAATCATGCCTATTTTTTCCCCTTCAGCTGAGCCTAGCATGCTAGTTCTAGCTGGGCTGTGCACGCTCATTTGCGTTGCCAACGCTGTACATCTTTTATGTCGACGGACGCTGGCCAGTCCAATGGCATTGAGTCCAGCACAGACTCTCTGGGGAATACTAGGATTCCTTTGTGCCGTGACATGTGCGATCTCTTCCTTTGCTTCTCTGGTGACTGAGAGCTTCAATAAAAAGTCAAGGATTATGGCAGCCTCGCTCTGGGTAAGCTCTACAAGGATACAACTGAATAAGAACTTCACTAACTTCTCAGGTCATCGTATCACTATTTCGAGCTCTTTACCTGGCGCCAACGCCTTGTCGACTCCTCCTCCTAAGAAATGCGACATTTCTGAGTCTATCCATCTATCTCACAATAGACGTACCCCGGCAATTATACCCAATGATATGGCTTCAGGTCCCGGCAGGTCCCAGATTCTCCTTGTTGGATATAGTCCAGCTAGTGGCGAGCTCTGCATGTTCGATCCTTGTTCCTACTCTCTCTCCAAACTTGAACACTTCAGTGAAGGGTGTGTATCACCCTGCAGATACATGTTCACCTCTCTCCAGATGGTGGCTTTATGCTTGGGTCACTCCATTGGTGGCACTCGGCTACGAAAGAAACGGCTCCATCAGCAAGGAAGATCTCTATCCTCAGAGAGACGAGGCCTCGGTAGAGACTTGGCGGCAAGCCTACACGAATTGTTGCCCGGAATCTTCGGCTTTCAAGGTCATTCTCTGGAAGTTGTTTCGAATGAGGCTAGCTACGATGGCTCTTTTTGCAGGCCTGTGTGGCTTCTTCGAGCTTCTGGGGACGATCGGGCTACATCAGCTTCTTTTGTTCTTTCAAAGTTCATCTCAAGCCAAGCTTCAACCCTGGTTCTCCATCACATTATTTGCAGTGTCGCCGATCATTCGTGGTATATGCATGCAGACTTTCGAGTATTATGCTACCCACACAATAGGAGACTGGAAGTCTCTTATCGTGGCCGCTGTATATCAGAAAATGACGATGCTTGAGACAGACGCCGACATTAATGTTGGACAATTACAGAGCATGATATCAGTCGATATTGACAGGTTGGGTACACTTCGATACACCGCAATGACGGCATTCATGGTCCCCGTCGAATTCATCACGGCCTCCATCCTATTATACAGGGTTATGGGATGGTACTATATCCCCGGCCTGCTATTTCTTCTTGTTACCAGATATCCTCTGTCCCGATTCATAATATCGGAACAAACCAAAGCTCAGTCAGCGATTGTGCGGGCAACCGATAGGCGGATAACGCGAACAAGCGAAAGCATACGGGCTCTATTAATGATTAAGATGCTTGGAAACGCACAGTCTTTTATAAGGAGGATTCTCGGTGAGAGGAAGCAAGAGCTAGATGCTATTTGGCTGAAGATGCGCGTCATCATTCTCTCAGAAAGCCTTTCCTCTTCATGCTCCTTTCTTGCAATGGTTCTCAGTCTATGCCTTTTCATCTTTGCAGGGAAAAAAGCTTTAGCACCAGATGTTGTTTTCACGCTTGTCGCTGTATTCAATATTATCAAGAGTATGCTTACGTTGAGCGTACTTGGTGCTGGGCAATACGCGCAAGCGATGGTGAGCTTGCAACGATTAAGTGACTTTATGGACCGAAAGAGTTCCCTGGTGGTCACGGACACAAGCCAGCTTACGATGCAGGCTCAGAGATCAGGCCCTCCTAATTCCTCGTCTTCTACAGCGCAGGTCCTTGGGGAGTTCAATTACACTCAAGCCAGCCTTGACATCGAGTTTTCGAGGGGCGGACTCAATGTGATTACGGGTGATACTGGGTACAGCCTCCCCTATCTCTCTTGTCGTTGCATTTCGAAAGAATCACTTGCTTACATCTGCAAACTAGGTCAGGAAAGACCTTGTTGTTACACACATTGCTGCCTGCTGGTTGTGGTGACCAAGGCAGCATAAGGCTCGGCAAAGCACAATTCGAGCCGATTGCCTACGCATCTCAAGAACCTTGGCTTTTTCGAGGTAGTATCAAGGACAACATTTTATTCGGGACTGCATATGATCAAAAGCGCTATGAGCGTGCCATTAGGGATTGCGCGCTGGAGAAAGATCTTGCAGCTTTCAAGGACGGCGACCTCAAAGAGGTAGGTGAAGGTGGCCGCAGTCTCTCTGGAGGTCAACGTCAGCGAGTAGCCCTTGCCCGAGCAATGTATACGAATGCAAACGTCGTCATATTGGATGATATCCTTTCAGGGTTAGACCCGAGCACCTTCGAGTGGGTGGTGACGAAATGCATCTTCAGATCGGAGCTACAGAATCGCACGATCATAATGGTTACAAATGACCCGAAAGTACTCCAGATGGCTGATTTAGTCATCCACATGGAGAAGGGCAGAATCGCTCAAGTTAAGAAGAATCTCGGGCCCAAAAACACGCAAAGAATGCCCGGCACGGACTATGTCGATCGTCTGTTCCATGATCGGCGAGAAGTCTCTGAAACAATATCTGCACCCTGTGGAATTATCGATGGCAGCGACGAGACGAGCCCGCTCTCTGCGGAGGCCCTTAACGAATGTGCTGGTCTTCAGCGCGTGAGCAGTTTGAGATATGGTAAGTTTGGCGGTATTGCCCATTTTCCAGGTACTAACCCTCCCAGGCTTCAAATACCTCCGATCCTTCGGCAGTCGGCCATTCGTCACTTTAGCAGTGATTTGTGCCGTCGGAGCCCAAGCATTGGAAATTGGGGTCCCAGCATGGCTGTCGATTTGGAGTGCTATATCGTTGAGAAACGAAAAGAATAGTAGGGACAGTTTTTATCTAGGAATCTATGCAGGTATGAGTTTTATTTCTATTCACATCCCAGGCGGCGAATGCTGACTACAAGAGCAGGACTCGGCTCAGCGCAAATAGCGACCCTGGCATTCTCGCTGTTTTTGTTATACTCGGGTGCTTGGCGATTTAGTCATGACAAGCATATGGAAATGATTTCTGCAATTTTCGGCACTACTTACTCTTGGATCTGGAGTACCCCAGTGGGACAGGTGATCAATCGTTTCTCGTCTGATATCGCAAGTTTAGACGACACTCTGTTCAGGACTTTTCGTCCAGTTTTGGAGACATATCTGTCAATTGGTCTCCGGATTCTCACCGTGACGTCGCTTATACCACTTTTCTTTCTGCCGTCTGTCATGTTGTCTGGGCTTGCAATCTACGTGGGCCACCGTTACCGTTTCGCAGCCACCGCTGTGAAGCATCTATACGCCGCTAGTCTCACGCCACTGCATCACAGTATTGCAGAAACTGCGTCGGGCCTTAAGACAATACACGCATTTCGCGCCCAGGGGATGCTACAGAAGCGCTTCAATGCGGCAGTTGAGCACCATGTCCAGACATGGAATGCCGTCAGTGACCTTCAGAGGTGGCTGGCAGTACGAATGGACATTTTCGTCGCTTTGATATCGTGCTCTGCGGCGACATTAGCCATCTTGCGGCCGCATTCAAGTGCACCTGTTGTTGGTCTTAGTTTGACCCTCACAACCGGCCTCTGCACGGCTCTACTTTGTAGGTTCTCCCTGTCTGGCTGTGAGTGGCTGTATCGCTAACCGTCTAGATCTGGTTTATCTCTCGAGTCTTCTGGAAGTTGAAATGACCAGTTATTGCCGTATCGAGAACTATATCCAGGAACTTCCACAAGAGGTTCCTTCCGCTAACCATGAAGCCTGTGTGGTAGAACATTGGCCAACTCGGGGATTGATATCCTTTGAGAACTTCGGAGCCAACTATTCGTTGGATGAAGAGGAGATTCTCAAGGGTGTCAGCTATAGAGTGAATCCCGGCCAACGAATAGCTATCGTTGGTCGCACAGGAAGCGGGAAGACTTCCCTGGCACTGAGTCTGCTACGGCTGACTACTAGGACGCGTGGATCCATATCCATTGATGGCGTTGATATTGAATCGGTTGCGGTCGAAAAGCTACGGCAGAGCATAACTTTTATCCCTCAAGATCCCACGCTACTTGACGGAACAATACGTTTTAATCTGGATTTCAACGGAGAGTATGACGAGGGATATTTGCAATCCATTCTGGATGGCGTGGCGGGTACAAGGAAATGGAAGCTGGATGACATGGTCGAGCTAAATGGGAGAAATTTCTCACAAGGCGAGAGACAGCTCATTACCCTCGCACGAGCCATGGTGAACAAACACAAAATTCTCATTATTGATGAGGGGACCGCTAGCCTGGACAAAGCGAGCGAAAACCGTATCATGGCCGTCCTTCGGGACCGCTTCAGCGAAGGTACGGTCATAGCCATCACGCATAGGTTACACAGCATCATCGATTTTGACCAAGTCCTCGTAATGGGCGACGGCCAGGTGCTGGAGGCAGGGGATCCTCGCCACCTTCTGGAAGGAGGGGAAAGTCTTTTCAAAACATTGTATCTGCAGCAGTGTGGCACGAATGCTGTGATTAGTAGCAATGTCAGCGACTATCGTCAATGATAAGGTATTTGCGTTGATATATCCACGACACAAACCCCTTGGAAAATCTGCAGGTCATGCCTCTCCTCCGAAAGCAGAAAAAAAAGAAAGAGAAGAAAAGAAAAGAAAAAGTCGGAATGTGAGACAAGAATTCTGCATGGTGCATTGCTTACCTCGGACGTACCACAGTAAATGGCCTTGACCCTGAGTGAGTATAGAGATGTTTAAGCCACCGAAATTCCTGAGTGCTGAAACAGAAAGTCTAAATGAGGAGCAAACGAGCACTGCGTTTGCCTCGCTTATGCTTAAGGGGGGTCAAACAAAGAAAAGAGGCGACACAACGTCGCTGAGATTGGACTTGTCACATTCCTCCCTTCGTTGAGCACAGGCGGTGTTCATCCCAGTCTGCCTAGCGTGGCATCTGGGGAGTGCCTATCTGGTGACTGCAGCTTGGTTCGCTCGCTAGTCTGTCGATCCCTTGCGCCTGGGCTGTTGCCGTCCTGCCGATAGATTCGATTCCGCTTTTAGTTGACATAGATCAAACGGTTTGGACATCCCAAGATTTGAGCTTGTATAAGCATCAGTCTGTTGCATCACGTTTTCATATCACTAGAAGCAGAGCCCTCTCTGTCCGCGATATCTTCAGGTCTGAATAGTCTTCTACACTCGAGTTCAAAGACGATTTGCTCCATACTACCCAGTTTGTTGCTTTGTTGCCGCGATGCCCCTTGCCGCTTCACACGACAAACCTGTTAGAAAGCGCAATGTCGTCTCGCGTGGTCGAACCGGTTGCCTAACTTGCCGACGCAGAAGACTCAAGTGCGATGAGACGAAACCAGGGTGTAACAATGTGCGAATCTCATCTGGAGTTTTGGCTTCCTGGCTGTCCACTTTCAATGCTAACGAACATACCAGTGCAGACGTATCAACCTTCCGTGCGAAGGATATGCTCAGAGGATTACTTTCAAGGACCAGACGAATCTCATCGTTGCAAGAGCGACAGGCAGGCCAGTAGGGAAGAAAGGGCGGTCATCGGGCTCTAAGAATGAGGAGCATGGCGAGCCAAACGGCACATTCGCCAATTCCAGCAGCGGAAAACCAATCGGTGTGAAAACACCACCTTCTCCCCCGTTGTCCGAGTCTTCAGAAACATGCTTTTCTGTGGAACCGAAACAGGAAGATACGAAAGCAACTTTTCAACGAGATCCAAATACTCCGGCCAATTCCGATATCCGTCATACCGCCCCGGATTCATTGATGGTGATGCGCGACGGCTACTTGACGCCATACTCTCCAATATCCGTAGGAAACGCGCTCTCGCCGAGCCGTATCCTGTCCAATTCATCTCTTTGCCTCCTTGGAGCGTTTGAGTTTCCAGAGGATTACACCTATTATGAATACTCCGCCAATGGTCATCTATCGGGTCTTTCAAAAGTCTTACCTCTATCGGAGTTCCTCAAATCACAAGCCATGTCCCACCACGTTTATAACGCCGCCATGGCCCTAGCAGCTCTCACAATGTCGAGTTTCGAGCCATATTCGAGAGGGTCGATCAATCTACGCCGTCACGCCTTTCATCATAGCCTGAGGGCCATTCAGGGCTTGAATGCGGAGTTATCCTCGAGCAGCACGGCGGAGATTGCGAGTCGATCGTGGAATTATGACAGGGTTCTTTCATTGTTCGCCACATCCATGTTGCTTGCCAATTTTGAGCTTCAGCGAGGCGCCTTGCTTTCATGGCGCTCGCACATGCAAGGTGCCGCATTATGCCTTAATACTGGATACAAACAGCTTATGCAAACTCCGACAGGAATGCTGTTGATCAGGGCTTTTGCGAGAATGGCTCTTTTGTTGCGCTTATATAACAAAGATTACTCTGTTACCTCGCCGGAAACTATGCCCCCGAAAATATCAAGATGGCTAGATCTGCTTTTGAAGCAATCATCACATCTACGGGACAGGATGTTGTTGCTGGTAGAAGAGGTAACAGCATTGGAGATACAGAAACGTCAGGAGCCCGAATTGGATAGTTTCTGGTCTAGCAAAAGTTCGGAGCTTCTTTGCAAGCTAGATAGATGGCGGACAGACGTACCGATTGACGAAAATCCCGTGGACGATGACTTTAGCGGAGCTTATCTGACGATATCTTCTTCCGATGACTCGTCTTTGGTCCGTGTATCTGCGCTCGTTTTTCCCAATGCCAGAGACCCTTGCACCTCAGCCGTCAATTATGCAGCGTATCTCTGCACGAGCATGCGGGCACGTACGCGATATCTCCCGGATTCAGGACGGATAGTTCCTCCTGATGCGGAGCGGACGGCGCTCACCATATGTCGGATTGCGGCAGGGATACCGCCCACGCGATTCGGCGAGTCTTTCACGCACAGCTACGGCATGCTTCCGTCGGTAGTCGGAGCCTACCGGTGGTCGACGAACCCGGGTCTGCGCAACTGGGTCAAGCATTGGCTGGCAGGTTATCGAGGGCCACGAGAGGGAATCTGGAACATTCAACAAACGCTTAAGCTTCTCGCGACGATGGACAGCCTGCCGAAGCCAGGTTGGCACTTTGTTGCTATGAAGGTCATTGACGAGCCGCAAGAACCATCGCCAGATCTCGACGAAGCTCACAGCAATGAGCCATTCAAGGTAGTCTTGCAGGCCAGGTTTCGAAACGGAACTTCCACAAATATCTTTGTTGTCAAGTAGTAGATCGTCTTTCTGCTGACGAAGGTGCTTTTGGCAAACAGTATATTGCGTCCTGTGCCCAAATCTAGAATCACCAGCGAGGAGACAGTCGCTGGCAATTGTAGGTCGCCTTGGTCGACGCTGCTGCATATCGCATGGCAGGTCCAAACAGAGGTCCCCATTTTGGGCAATTCGAAGTCCAGATCTCGCGAGGATTTCGTCCCATGTGTGACATGACGTTCGGACTGTGGGAGAGGAATAGTTGGACACGCGGGTGGTGATGCTTGAAGAATGGTGAGGTGGCTGTCTGGCTTCTGGTTGGGGAAGCTCCATCGACACTTTCCTCGGGCCGGATCCTTTCGAGGATTTTCATCGCCACTACAGTGCTTTTCTCACTCCTGTTTTCCTCGTCCATCATTTTCTATCTCTTCCGCTGATGCTTCCCGTATTGTTAAATTATCATGGAACTAAATCAAGACGCACAATTGTTCAAGTGACAAGGGAACCCTCGCATAATCAGAGGATTGAGAAGCGTCGAGGACAACCCAGGCCCCGATCATCTTTCGTTTTCTTTGCACCTGGACTTTTGTTACAGCGAATCAAAAGACAGAATTCGGCAAGCCAAGACCCAGAATAATCATGTTCCATGGGCTCGCGCTTGGACAGCCGTGGGATGACTTCAGATTGGCTTTGCGGTTTGCTTTAAGCTCGCTGAGCGCTCCCGTTGATCCACTTCTACCGGTTTTTGGCAAGTTAGCAACCGCTCGGAGATTGACCTAATTTGAGACAACTCTCGATCAAGCAGACATCTCATTCGCGGCCTGTGCCTGCTGCGCCGTCCCTGGCTTTTCTGCTTTTGTTCGATCAGCAGAACGGTTCTTCAGCCGCTCAAGACCGGAAAGTTCAGGATGACCGCCGAGTGAGGTGGAGTAACGGATCCCTTCAAGCTTAAAAGTGGAACGAGTACGTAGGAGGAAAAAGCCGGCAAGTCTTACGAGAGGACAATGACAGAAAGAGCATAGAGAACGGAGACTACGCAAATATCTGTTTCTTGCAACATTTCTCTTCACTTCGATCATTACTACTCCTGCAACTACCGCTCAATCATTTACACCTAGTGATTTCTCCTCCATCCTAAAGGACCCATTTTATTGCCTGCATGATGCTCCGGCTGGCATCATTGGAGTCATACCGAGCGTGATAGTCTACGAATACACCGTACCAGCCTTAAGGGAGCATGTAGTAGCCAAACACTCAAACATGGTTGGGGTCCCACGAAGCACAGGGTGTCAAATTTGCATTAGGAGACGCATTAAGGTTTGAATCCCTTTCACCTTAAACCTCAATCTACCGACTTGGTAACTAACAGAAATCCAAATCAAGTGTGATGCATTGCGGCCCGAATGCTCTCAATGCCGTAAATATGGTGTTCAGTGTCCTGGCTATGCAAAAGCCCGCAAATTTATGGACGAAGGACCCCTGATCAAGAAGCGATATGAGCAGACTGCAAATCCAGTCAATGAGCACGAGATCCAGGAAATACGAAGAGAGCAGAGTTTCGCACATCCACATGATTCAATCGACGAGCAAATTTTCCCTTCTTTAGTCACAAAGTCGATGAGTCGGCAGCAGCCTGCAGTATTCCGTGACTTCGTGCTCACGGCATTTCCTCGCTGGTTCGGTCTAAACAAATATCGTGTTCATGTTCCTTGGGCAGTGTATGTAGCGGATGTTTTGGGAACAACTCCAGCCCTGGATGCAGCTATTTTCTGCATCACGTCCGTTTTCATGGGGCGTTCAAATCATGACGTTGCCCTGCAAAAATCTAGCCGAGAGATGTACTCAAAGGCTTTGGCTTCCTTAGGAGGCATGATCAAGCATGAGAAGATCATGCGCTCAAGGGAAAGCGTTAGCACATCCATCTTACTCAGCCTTTTTGAAGCATACTCTCAGACAAGAGAGGACTCCTGGGCTCAGCATGCCTCTGGAGCTGCTCTCCTGATGTCCATGCGCGGGGCGAAATCCCATCTCACTGGCTTCGATCGCTGCCTGTATCTTTCCTTTCGCAGCTTCCTCGCTGCCGCTGCGTTCATCGAGGGCAAACCATGCTTCTTCGAAAAGCCAGAGTGGCAATCCCTGATTGACGAGATCCGAAAGCAAGACATGGCCGATCCACGAGCGAATGCAACAATCTCGGCCATCATTGACGTAACGGACCGATTATTCATGGAAGTCGTCAAGATTCCCGGCCTGATGTATCGGGTCAACCGTCACCTCCAGGCCTCTCCGCCAACGTCGCCCTCGGAATCAGAACAACTAATTTCGAGGTTATACCGCTGCAAAGAGAAAATACATGGTTTAGCATCTGAGCTCCGTCTCGTTGCCGCCGTGCAGGGTCATAGAATCATCGGCGGTAAATTATCCCTCATAGGGCCCATTCCGTCCACCCTGCCACAAACTTTCTCGAACGGCGTCCTGCGCGGCGCCAACAATTGCTTCAAAATCCTAGACCTTCTGTCGCATAATCTCATGGTTTCTCAACACAAGGGCTACTCGCCTCACGCCATCGCTGGCACTCCCGCTGGGCCTAGATCATCATCATCACCACCGTCCCTTGTATCAGCTCCGGAGTCAATGTCGAGTGAATCCTTCTTCGACGAGCCCAAAATCGTACCCTTCCACATAGTCTCCAGATTTCGCGATTTTGAAGACGGCGGGAGCTTGACTCTGTCTGAGGGCCCAAAAATGAGCCCAGTGGACAAATGGTTGGATCAAGTCGCTTCGTCCATGGGCATGGAGGCCTTTGAAGTTGTCATTGAGGATAAGATCGACAGGAGTTGTTCAAGCCTAGATATGGAACCGCAGCTCGAACATGCCTCAGCATTACCAATGAGAGAGAAATCGGTCTTCTGACTCATGCAAGGACTCGGTTTCCAAACCAAATGAATGATCGGATGGTTTGTTTCGACGGCCGCTCGTCGGATGGACTCAATTCACGGCTTTGGTCCACTATGTGAGCCTGGGTCCTCAGTAGAGAGATTTCTGAGGATACGCTCGACTGATTAGCTCGACCGACGCCTTGCTTGATCGATGTGCTACTGCATGAGTGTCCTACGATGTTGATCAGTCTACACAGCACAGGGGGTCTTTGTCTCAAAGTTATGAACCGACTTTATCAGTCCCACGTAGATTGTATACACATATGCACACACATTCAACTCAACCGCCAAACGAGCATTCATCGAAACCCTCATTATGACCAGAAGGTCACACAACAACCATGACCGTTTTGCGTGTTTTCAGACCTGATCGATTCAGTGCCAACGTCTAGATCATCTGATCGTCAACAATGCAACCATACGCCACAACGCACAAATCCAGACCCATCAAACTTGAGAACCAGGACACCGACGAATAACCAAAGAACAAGAGAAGAATCATTAAACTTATGGTAGCGCAAATGCAGCAAATTGATGGCGCGGGGTATGTAGTTTGGTCTTGCTCAAGACCAAGAAATGAAAGGGAGAGAGGAAAGTGGTTGAAGAAGTCAGCTAGCACGCTGAAGAAAAAGGCATAAAGGCAAGCAATCTCGTCTATTTGACTCGGGTGGGACTCCCTGTGCTACCGATTCGACCGCTGATCTTGCGAACACCTTTGGAAGCGCTTCTACTGTCGGTCACACGCCGAGGGCTTGTACGAACTTTGGTGACTGAAATGGCGCCACTTCCGCTCTTACTGCTCAAGGGAGTCTTGGGTGCTGCATGTCCAGCTTCCCCCCAATTCTCTCTGTCCTCGTGGATGTCATCTGTCAAGGTATAGCTGGCAGTCACTGTAGCAGAGTAACTGACAGATCGCTGGCTTGGTGATGCCACGGGCGATCGAGAGGAACGCTTGGCCAACATGCGCAGTTGGATCTCCTCTTCACTTTCGCTGCTGTCATTGCTGAGACGGGAACTGCGCTGCCTGGTCTGCTCTTCAGTCTTGTTCGTGTCTCTGTCGACAACGAGAGTACCAGAAGTGGTGCGTGCATAGGGATGATGACGAGAGTCCTTCCGGTGGGACTTGCGAGGTTGGCCAGGAGTTGGAGCAGGAAGGTACTCTTCGCTCGTTCCGGCACCCTCGTTGTGGTCAATCTCTCCAAGCGCGGAACGCTTGGAGTGACTATTGTTGGGTGGTGTCGCGATCGGGCCGTTGTTGACACGATGCTTGGTAGATGCTCTTCCAGGTGTAATCGGTGCTGGCTGCATTTGGGCCAGCTTCTCCTTCATGCTATCCTCAAACCACCATTCACGGAATGAGCCCTGGTTCAAGTGCAGCCAATGTTGCTGTGGACCAACCACCATGCCGGGACGCATGAATCTCATGAAGGCGATAATCTCGTTGGCGGTGAACCCGTACCGGTAGATAAGATAGGCACCAATCAAGCAACCGGTGCGACCCAAACCAGCCTTGCAATGGACTGCGATTCCCTTATTCTTGACTGTGATCATCTCATGTGCCATTTTGATGAATCGTCGAACCAACGGCAATGGAGGACAAGTACCATCTTCAAATATCATATCGATGTGGTTGATTCCCAAAGCTGTGAAGTGAGACGGAGAGTACAGCTCTGAGTTTAGTCGCACAACGAGACCCACATTACGAGTCGCGAAATGCGCCAGCACGTTCTTGAAAGGAAGTGGCAGCTTAGATGCGATGACCTGGGAAACTGTTGACGGCAACGCAGCGTATTCGGGGGTGTTGGAAGGGATTGGTGCAATAGGTTCATGCTGCGGGGAGGCGAAGGCGAGGAACTGAGGGGTGATCCAGTTGAAGTCACCCATGTCGACCCGTTCGAACTTCTCATATCTAGCAAGACCCGTCAGTCTGCGATCAAAAGGTCATCCGCCAACCGTATACATACTCTTCAAGGCTGAAGCTGCTCAGACTGCAAAGTGACTGTTCCTTCGCCTTCCACACTCCGTACACTACGTCCTGAATTGTCAAAGTGAAATCTGCCTGACTGTATCCCGCATCCCGGAAAGGCATGTACGGCGGATCAGCCTGTGCGATTGGGGCCAAGGCAAGGTGTGGCGGCCAAGACTGGATGAGAACCATATAGCAAGCGACAAGGCATGCTGCGTTGGCACGACTCCGTGGATCGCTCTTTGAGTAAAAGACCACTGCGCGATCTTTGTTTGCAGGTTCGCCAAGAATCTCGTGGAAATGAACAGCAAAGCGATACAGATGTCCTATATGAAGAGGACCGAAGTCTGCATGGAAGGAGTTGTAGAAAAGAGTATCATCTGCGGTGAAATACACGGGGTACCGCTTCTTGCTAGGCGTCTGGGGCTGGCCTCGTGCGGAGCGTTTGCTGGGAGATTTGGATTGCTCCAGAGGGAAGGGGAACGGAGCCTTTGGATCGGGTGGGGAGTCATAGGAAGCGAGGTACAGGCGATCTGCGATTTCAAGTGGTCAGAAAGCTTGCCAGACAGTGTGAAGTTCATATTGGACGAAACAACTTGACGGGCTCCGAGGACATTTTCTCGATAGATCAGATCAAAACAAACGCACGAACCTTGGATATACTCGATCACCTGGCCAGGACCGCCCATATTTTCAGACATTGTGCTCTTCAAATGACAAACACTAGAAAGCAGCTAGGCTATGCACTTTAAATAAGACGGACAGCCGAACGGTGTGAGGGCTGGACAGGATAAGGTCTCTTCGCAAAAACGGCACCGCAGCGGCCAGTCAATGATTAGAATGATAGAGAAACAGGACGATGACAGTGTATCCAGTCTAAACAATCATGGTCTGACTCTTTGTCGACTCTTGCCCGATGAATGGCCTTTTCAACCCACGATGCGAGTAGGGTAAAGATAAGAGGCAACAAGGCCCACGGAAGAGGATGATATACAAGAGGGATTATGAAGAGAGTGCGGAGGAGGGGTTTAAGAAGGATAAACTCTAGAGCAGAGGTAGAAGTGAGGAGGAGAGAGGTAGTAGATAATGTTTCGGAGGCCGCACGAGATGGAGGAGAAAGCCAAAGCTCGAGGCCGATGAGACCGTTTGGGCAACTGCGATGCACGCTAAGTGGCTGCTGTTATGTTGTGGTGCTCCTGAAGTGGTTTAGTGCCGGACGTTGGCAGGACAACAAGGTAGTTGCCTCAGGCATATACCGAGAAAAACAACATCCCGGCCGCCATGCTTGTTTTTCCCCCACAAGCAAATGAAGCAAACAAAACAATGCAAGCCACAACCAAAACACACAGCCACGTCTAGTCCTCTACTTTAGCCACGCAATTTTTGTCAGAGACACCAGCGATCAGGCCGGAGCTGCGTGTCTTGAGACTTTGGGATGATTTGCGTTTCCTGGGCTGCTGATAGTAGACATCTTACATTATTAGTAGTGATCGAATCTTGCCCGTACTGTTTCTATGAGCTGCGAGCCCAGTGCCACTCACATGTGGTGGCTGCCGATATTTCAGATATATAGCGATCAAGACTCCCTTATTGTTGTCTCCTGACAGTAGTCCCGCATCGCCATTTTTCTCCGATTATCCATGACTGCAGCATCTGCCAGTCTTTTGTTTCTCATTCTGCCATTTTCATCTCCTTGGATATTCAGTTGGAAACTCGACCCTAAGGCCTCATATCTCCTGTGGCATCGCACAGCGCAGATCTTGTGTAATATAGGAAAGACTATGGACAGTGGCTGCAACCGGGTACAATATGATGTGAATGCTTTTTCTGGTTCTATTGTTCGTGTCATGTCGCTGTACCAATAGCCTTCAAGATGGGGCCCAGCGTTGCCGAACAAAGAAAGTCAAATGGAACAATGGCTATCGGCCGCCTCCCAGCAAGAGAGCTTGACCATCGAGATGCGTTGATCAGTTGATCAATTGCCATGAATAAGATCATATATAAACTGTTTGTTGCACCTATGCGATGATACCTCAAGCACATCTCTGAGAGCAGTCGTCTTCCAATCAATTTTTTTGACTGAACTGAGTGATCGCATAGCCAATCAGCTTCATCGATATGATATACCTCAAGGACATCGTCTTCTCACTCACCAACTGGGCGTTGTTTGTTGGCGCGGAACGTCCTCTTCGATATTGCGACCAGGTCTCCAGCTCACGCTCTGCATGCCGCGAAGAGTACGGGCTCGAGCCCAACAGTGACTGTCCTCTGGGCCGAAAATGATGTGGTGGTCGCTGCTGAAACACCATTATGGCTTGTAAGGAACGTCTTATGCTGTTTTGCCGTTTGCCGGACTAACAGGTGTACGTCAGTCATATTCAGGACGATACGGGCGGTTCCGCAAGAAGCGGCCACAGTGGAAGGAGAGATCGCCGGACGAGGATGATGGTATGAGGCTGACAGAGAAACACAATGCTACAATCTTCGCAATTGAGTCATTCTTTCCCATCAAGCACATCACATTCAAAATTAGTATGCCCGGTCATTCGAAACACGAATAGATCGTGGAACGAGAAACTTGTTGTAGACTATATGACCTTGGGTCATGTCAGCAGCAGCTAAATGTATGAACGAAAAGAAAAAACGAAAAAAGGAAGATGAGGCATTGTTTTCAAGAAAGTCATCTAATTGAAAGCAGCCATCATAGCTGAGAGACTCAGTTGCTGTGAGTGTCAAATGAGGTGCAGCCGAGCAAGAAAGATAATAAAGATGGCATCTTACCTAGGGAGAGCTTCAGAATGTCCGTCAAGAGTACATGTGGCGAACTGGGCTCCAGGAGAAACTGAAGGCTAATCTCAAAGGCAGCATAATACCCAAGTAGCTCAGAAATATGGAGTACCAAGACAGAAGGGTGATAGGAAGAGCAAATAATGTTGGCTGGGTCTTCCAATTGCCTAGTTCCTATGTCAATGGGTGTCTCCGTATGTAGAAAGCTACGGAAGACACTGTCAAGGACCGTAATGGTAATGAGGTCGTACAGCTACCTCTCTCCTAGAGGGCAGCAATGTTTGCTCTTGGTCAGACAACTGTGCAGACCATGGCCACTGCTGCTGAACTCGGGACGACATCTGCCTCTTGCAAAAGTGAGTCCATGTATTTCCTGACAGCATGTTTTGAAGCGCAGGTGACTGGAACCTAAGGTATAACAACTCCAAGCTCTATCACCAGAAGGTTAGTACAACCATTTCCAGAGCTCTCGACTCTCCTCGGAGAGTAATAGTGATATTCCACTATCTTCAGTGAGAATAACGGGTCTCCTTTTGCTCTACTGGTGCAATCCTCAGTCCATCCTTGAGTTCTGATGCAATCTCCTTTGAGCCGCTCACTATTGTTCGAAGCAGAGTCCGTATTTAGTATTGGTACTCGACTCACAAGCCAAACGGAGAAAGACCTTGAAATAGTTTAGGATCCGCCGAATCTCCCGTGTTTTCGAACCCTATCATGAAGAGGGATAGATATGATTCCTGGTCCTCCTCTCCAGCCACGAAGGGAGACTCAATTGCGGTCAAATTCGAGATTTCACATGACTATCACTGGGAAAACGCCATATTAGACTTCGATCGTTGCTTTGGTGGATTTCGTGATTCGACGACTGAAAGATTCTCCTCAAAGTCGAATTGCGATGTCCCAAGAGGTGGAGCAGATCAGCAGGGATAATGCAGTACTAGGTACTAGTTAGTCCCTGAGTGGTTGCTGATCCAACTCCCTCCTTTCTACCTTTTCACCCTCGCATCAACAATCATCCTCCTTGAGTCATCCTCGAAAACAACAATCTGAATAGATGACAATCTACTGTCATAGAAAGATGTGGCGTTCTCGATCTTGTCAAAGGCTGTGATTCCGATAATAATCCTCCGATCAGAATACTGCAGAACTAATGCCTCGGACAACTAGTGGCAAGTTGGCAACAACAAACAACTGACGATCGGCCAGCTAATCCACACTATTTACACTCAAGGTTCGAATTAAGCAATCCGTTGACGTTTATTCGAATTCTTTCTCCAATGCATGGTGATTTTGCGGAGACGTTCGTGAGGGATCGCCAGCGTTTAAATGAAGCATGCTGAAATCCCCACACAGTATGCCTCAATGTCCTCCGCAAGTCATAGAAATTTGCCCAGGAACTGGGTTCCCAGCGCGACTATTGAAGTTACCTTATTGAAAAGAAAATAATAATGCCTGCTCAATATCCGACATATCAGTCTATGCTGCTGCGTTCATGAGTTGGCAGCCATGATGTAAATCACGTTTGTCCTCCATCCACATCACTGAGAAGGCAACATTACTGCCCAGGATCATGCAGGTCAGCGCGACATTCTGCAATGATGATACCTGCACTGCACTGCTCGCTATGGCCTCTTAGGTTTCACAATGGATAAACCGGTGCCCATTAGTATGGACCTGGTGTGCACAGCACGCCTTTCAGTGGAATCGTTTGAGAGTTGTCGTACCAATCGGATTCGGGCGCCCCTAAGCCACTGAGAAGCTTACTTCCTTCGGACTCGGATCAGCTTGCATGGAGCCATGTTGGAGTTTAGTGACTTCATTCAATAATACTATTGACCTTGGACTCGAAGTCCGAGCACACGTTCCAGTGAAGCAAGCAGACTACATACAAGCTAATACTGGCAATAATGGAACCTGAGTTGAGACCATCACTTCCCCGTGTCGATCGCTGTTGTCTTCAGGCTGCTAGTATGTAACAGACGGCCTGGGAGGTGATGGGCTATCACTCACGTCTCTGACCACGATGCCCCTGATCTACACGTGGAATCCGAGGCAGCGCAAGAGCGGACGACGACCACCATCCAGGAGAATGAAAAGATTTGTCCAGGGAGGAAAAAGGAGCAACAAGATCTGCCTATAAAACGACGTCTTGCTCTGCTTCAAATCATTTTCCTCTTCCTCCTCACACCAGCCAAATCCACTCTTTCCAGTCAATCCTTTTCAAGGCCTGCTTTCAGCGCCCATTCACTCCTTTGCCACAAACTCTCAGTCACTCCTTTAGTTTCTAATTCTTAATCAAAACCAACCGTCATAATGAAGTTCACTGGAATCATCGCTTCCCTGGCTGTTGCCAGCTCTGCCTCCGCTCTGGTCATCCCCCAGGCCCCTGTTGATGCCACCCTCAACAAGCTGAACAGTGCTCTCGACAATGTTGAGGGTCTCGTCGGTGGTCTCCTCAACGGCGTTTGCCAGGAGGTCGACCTCACCCAGGTCCAGACCGGTATGTCCTTCTTAAAGGACCTCTCCGAAACATCCAAAAACACAGACCGGCCTCGCTAATCCCAATACTGTCCATTAGAACTCACCGACATCAAGGGCCAGCTGACCAAGCTCGTCCCTGTCTCTGTTGCCACCAAGCGTGACATCATGGGCACTGTTAATGGTGTTGCTACGCCCGCCACCAACGTCGCTGGTAGCGCAGTCGGCACTGTTGAGGGTGTTGCTAAGCCCGTCACCAATGTCGCTGACAGCGCAGTCGGCACTGTTGAAAACACCGCTGGTGCCGCCGTTGGCACCGTTAAGAACACTGCCTCTGGTGCCGTCGACACTGTTACCGGCAGTATGTAGTCAACACCCCTGGGGAGAATTGATGTGGCTAACAAGAATAATTAGCTGTCGGTGTCAAGCGCCAGGAGGTTGGCCAGCTCACCACCCTTGCGCAGAACCTGGTCAGCAAGATTCAGAGCGGTAAGTGACTTGTTCCCTCAGTGATTTGCATCTACTGATTGCGTCCTTAGGTGCCCTCGACGCTGCCGGCCTTGAGAACGTCCTCAACATTCTCGGCCAGACTGGTAAGTTCCCTTTCTCAAACAGTGATGGGCAAGCGTACTAAAGACATCCCTAGGCGGTCTCTCTGCTGTCACCACCATCCTCAACCTCATCCAGTAAATGATTCATTTTTTGAATCCAATACCTACCTTTGTGAAACGCATTACGTACGGCTGCGGTCGAGAAACCCCGGGATACCATGACCATTGGGTGTATAGCGACTCTTAACTTCACGCTTTCGGTTCGATTTGATCTGCCAAACGGCGCTGGATCTTCGTGGATAAAGCTTCATGTACAGTACCTTATCAATTCCATACCTTTATGTCCAAACTGGTTTAAGACTGTAGAAGACAAATGTTTCATTAGCCGTAGGATAGGCTGCGGTCATGAAGCACCCTTTTACCGTCTACTCCGTTCCGAGGGTCATAAACTAGCTAGCATACAGAGATACACTATCTAGTATTAATATTAGTAGGAGCTAGGTAGCAAATGGTAGTATAGCCTAGAAAGTAGATCAGGGAGTATTATTGCAGTCATCCCCTCGAGAGTAAAGCTAGGTCTATGAACCCCAGGGGAATATGCGGAATATATTAGACAAATCAGGGAATTGAAGTTGCCGGCCTAAAAATACTTTAATCAATGGCATAGAGAGATTGTCGACGCTCCTCCAGCCTTCAAGAAATTCCCCTTGGTCTGGTAATCACTGGGATCTACTCAGTACCAAAAAGAAGTGCAAAATGTCAAAAAGATTAGAAAGGGAAAAAACATACAACAGCCGGGATTCGCTGGTGGTCACCCACCCAACTACTAACCGGCCGGCGTGTGGCTTAAGTACGGCTGAGCGGACGGGAAGCCCTGTTTTCCACACCCTATGGTCGTATGTGCTCTACTGCAGCAATCTAGAGTTTATAATGGTATTCTATAAGGCTACGGAGTAGTCAACTGCGCAAAGCTGTGCAGATCAGGAACCTAATGTACTTGGCAACTATCCGCACTGTAGAATTTAGAAAGTTAGCTAATTGTCAATAAAGCCCAGACAATCTTCAAGCTAGAGTTCGTAGCTGAAGTGGTGTGAAAACAGTGCCCTTATTGATTGCGCTTGACTAATATGCTGACTCATCTCCTACTCCAAGAATTCCCTCCCCGCCTTGCTCTCTCAAACATTCGAAGAACTATACCGAAGAGTAGCCCCTTACTCTTTTATTCACATAGTTGGTTTGAATTGATATCTTATTGCCCTTCATCATGGCTACCAACAAGTCAACCAATCCTGAATTTCCTTATTCACTGTAAGACTCCTCCCTCAGCGTCCCCGTCCATGAACACGCCCCACTAACGAAACCCAAACCAAAAGAACAATATCCCTCCCCCTTCCCAGCAACCGCCTCGCCTCCTCTGCCCTCCAAGCCCTCGAAGTCGACGCCGAACTGTCCCCTTTCGTCCGCCGTAGTTTCGCCGTGAAATCTCCAGTTCAGAACTCCACCGCGGACGAGGACGAGGCGGCGAAGACAGTCCTTGAGACGACGTACCGCGCTACGACGAATCGCATGCTCCGTGTGGCTGTCAACGGGTTCATGGAGAGCTTGGGGGTTGTGCTCGGAGTTATGGAGGAGTTGGATGTGGACGTCCTGAGTGAGGAAATAGAGGAGGAGGAGGAGAAATGAGACGTGACTACCACGAAGAAGGGATGAGAGACGTGGTCATTTGTCGGCCATGACGGCACTACGTGTGCAGAACCCACACTGTGGTTGATCAGGGCGATCCGGTTGACTTCCTGCCTTCCTGCTGGCTGGAGATCTGGTAGTGCTAGGCCAGACTGGCCAGTCTATGCTGGGATGACCCAGACATTTGGAGTTGCCAGAATCCAGGAGGGATGTCCGACCGGACACAGGTTACCAAGTGCGAAGATGCACGGAAGTACATGGGCGAAAGCCGATGCAGTTAGGTTACCCATGTGGTCTATGCTCAATCAACATGCCTGCACTTCAAAAGACGCTACAATATGGTCGAGTGTCGTGTGATACAGTTGCTGAGAAAAATCTGCTTGCGTTCTTGGTGGTTGTATGGTTCCTCAGTGACGGGCAAGAGAGCTTTGAAATCTGATATATAAATTGCTGATAATCTATTGGTTAATCTAGATTTCTACAATACAAGACAATGTGGCAGTGCCCAAGAGTACCGGCTGTGTTCTTAAACATTCTCAATCTCATGACACATGCATGCATTAATTCAATAGTGTGGCTTCATGTAGCCACCTACACATTTATGCAGTGATCACGGTAATCACTTAGGATATGAATGACTACAAGGACTGAATTGTCAAGACATTAATAAGCCGTGGCTATAATAGCCTTGGCTAGCCTCTGCAGAGATCAATCTCCGATGTCTAGAACTGTCGTGATGACAAAATATCAGCGGGAAGAATTCGGGAGTGCAATATCCGTCAAGACTAAGTGTAAATGATTTGGAATTGGCGTCCGAATTTATCTGGTACCGCAATCTGATAATATCCGTAATCCACAGATTGTTTCAATCGGACCTCCAGCAAGATGACATCGTCATCGGCATCGGATGGTCTCACGTCCGACGGCGCCCCTCACAAAGTCTCAAGTCTCAATGGTCGTGAATTTATATATGCGACCGCCCACCTTCCAAGTTGCCTCGGCTCTTGATGATCTAGCATGGTATTATTAGTGCCTTCACTCTCACCTTCTCCCATTATATTTCGCAGTTTCTCCTTGACATATATTTCGCGATTGTTATCCGTCAATCTTCCAAAATATCACCAGATTCATCTTGAAGTGAGGAGTTCACGACCAAGTCCTACAAGTAGACTCCTCAACACTCGGACATCCCTTGTTCGATATCCCAAATCACTTTTCATCAGAACAATGGCCTCCGCGACGACATTCTACGACTTCAAGCCTGTGGACAGTATGTATCGCCCGTTGCAAATCAACCCTCAAACCCCCAAATCGCTGGTCGAGAAAACAAAGAGGATGCATTGCTGACCCAACCCCAACCACAGAGAAGGGCGAACCCTTCAACCTCGACTCCCTCAAAGGCAAAGTCGTCCTCGTCGTCAACACTGCCTCCAAATGCGGCTTCACCCCTCAGTTCAAAGGCCTCGAGAACCTCTACCAGTCCATCAAAGCCAAGCACCCCGAAGACTTCACCATTCTGGGCTTCCCCTGCAACCAATTCGGCAGCCAAGACCCCGGCTCTAACGACGAGATCCAGTCTTTCTGCCAGGTCAACTACGGCGTCACCTTCCCCGTGCTGGGCAAGTTGGATGTCAACGGCGACAATGCGGCGCCCGTGTGGACGTGGATGAAGGAGTCGATGCCTGGACTTATGGGGCTGAAGCGCGTCAAGTGGAATTTCGAGAAGTTTCTGGTTTCCGCTGATGGAAAGGTCGTTGGGCGCTGGGCTAGTATCACCAAGCCTGAATCGCTGGAAGAAACGATTCTAAAGGAGATTGAGAAGGCGAAGAAGGAGGGGACTGCGGCTTCGACGAGGACGGGGGAGACTACCGAGCAGGCTAAATTGTCGTAGTGTTTCCGGGAGTGAAGGAATGATGGTGGGCTAATAGGCAGAGATACCATACTTGGGATTGTATTGTTTGTATTTAGGATACCTGCGTTGAATGAGCTTTTGATTGATCTACCTTGAGCGATTGATTGCATTTCCTGAACTGTAATCCTCTCGGATGGTAGTATCTAAGCCGCAGCACTTCCCCTGGGAATCAGATTGCGCAAAGACAGATCATAGACCACATCTTCAACCTTTTTGACCTACAGCCCCATGTCCATTAGCAAAGATTATGCAAACAGGAACCAGAGAGTAAAAAAGACCTACGCTGTACTTGATACCATCACTCCTCTTTCGCAGGATATCATTTTTCAAGTTGAGCAGCTGGAAACCAGCGAACAGATCCTTGATAAATTTACCGATCTGAACAGGGCGGTTGTAATCACCAAGAGTGACCGAATTGACTGCTAGACGGGACTAATCCTAGATCAGTATCTCTAAACCCGTGAGGTCAAACAAGAAAAATGCCTACCAATTCCTCAACCATGCCAATGAGTGCAAGAAGATATTCTTCGATGGTCAGGTGAAAAGCATCTTGTTCTTTCAGATTGACCGGGACTAGCATGCATCACGTCAGAACAAAGCTAAACTCAAGCACAGAGAGTAGGAAGAGCAACCTACCATTCAGGAACTTCCCAACCTCCTCGATGGTCAAGAACGAAGCCGAGCCGGTGCCCTTGTACTCCTCGAGCCCTCCGAGCCAGGCACATAACTCGATCGACGTTACCTGTCTCGAAACTTAGCAAGTCTCACTGAACACGTGTCGGAAGGCGGCTAACAAGATTTTGCAACTCTCTCGTCCACACCCCGTTGTACTTGTAGAACGGGTGCTTGTCCGCCACGGTCTTGAGCCGCGCGACCTCGTCTCTTTGAGCGATTATCTCTCTGGTCGCATCGTCAAGAAGCGGCTTCACTATTCATTATCAACGAACAGAGCAAATATGAGTTTGCAAACAGGGATACATACGTTGATCAGATGGCGTGGAGTGAGCTCGGGAGAGTATAGCTTGCGTGGATCTTCCTGTGCGCAATCATGTATGTCAGTTGCAGTTCGGAGCATGCGACTTTGCCTCAATCAGGAGAATCAAGGTCCAGCTGGCAGAGATCGCAGAGAGAACCTTTCTTAGAAAGCGACTGGACAATCTCGTGGAGCTCCTGCGCGGGCATTAGCTATTCTTCATTACTTGTGCTTTGGTATGTCGAGCTTCTGAGCTCCTCAGGGACTTACGTCACGGACGGCGGTTTCTTCGTCAATCTTCGCTTGAAGATTCTCAAAGATTGAGTTATCGATCATTTTTGAGATGTTACAGGTACCCCGAGTTTGCCGTTGCTACTTCAGTGTTGATTAAGTTGTTGCGGTGTCTGTTAATGTTACGTCAACGTAAAAGTGAAGAAACTGCGGGCCGAAGATCGAAGACTAAGCTAGACACGCAGTTAATTGGTATGCCAGCTCAACCCATCTACTTGAAGTCCATGTCACTCGACATTTGTTACAATATCTAAACGGAGAAGATAAATTCCTAAGGCATCCAATTAGATAGCCTTCTTAATAGGATGTGCCATTAGTAAGAGAGCATCCGTAGTGATTACATTGCAAGTTAAAAACGAAATTCAAGGTATCGTAAGAGATAAGTAAAGAGAATTAAACATTTTTTGGCTAGTCAGTCTTCCTGTATGACTAAAGGGTTTAGGAGAAAGCTATGGACGTGACTATGGACTTTGGCTTTAGCTCTATGAAATCTGGCTTAAATAGGGAATCGACGTTTACCGTGCGAAAAAGGATATCTCCGACAGCAGTCTGCACATGCGCCGCCGAATCGACTTGAGATAGCCAACATTGTTTGATTATTTGTCCACATGGAATACCAGAGACATCAGGAAATTCTTTCTGTGTAAAAAGTCTTTCTACCTCGTCACTAGGGATCTCCTCGTAGGGACTGATACCTTGAAAAATCTCGTAAAGGGTCGACCCTAGTGCGAATAGATCTGTGGTCACTGTGGGTTGATCTCTCCAGTGCCGTGGAAGAAAAAATCGGGTGCCCTCACCAGACGCCGGCTTCGACCCATCTAGCGAAGAGCCTGAGAAGTCAATGATTTTGATGTCGAGAGCCGTGTCCAACAGAAAGTTTCGTGGTTTTATGTCGCAATGAATTACCCCGTTCCTATGTAAGAGGTCGACAGCCTCCGCGACTTGGTATGCCCACTTCAATTTGAGGCTCATCGATATTGAGTCATGAGCTTGGAGATATGTCTTGAGATCACCATTTTCCATATATTCGAGCACGAGACCATCCCTGGAATGACCCAGTAGCCGAACAAGCCTCTTATGTGGCCCAATACGACGATAGATGCTAGCTTCTTGGCGATGTCTAGGACATGACTTTCAATCTCGGAATCTGGAAATGGTGACTTGAGTGCAGTCCCATCATCAAGGAGCTCCACTATCCCAGTGATCCCTCCCGAGATAAACTGGCCTTGAGCGTCCCTTGTACTGGAATGGACCTTGTCATGTTCGATGTCACTGGGGTGCTCCTCCCTTGAATTTGATTCTTCCTATTGTTGAATAGTCAGGGAAGATTTTGGCAGACAAAGCGAGGGAATATATCGTACCGTTTCAACATCTCCAACAGGGGGCCGACTGATCAGGCGTGGCAATGAAGGCATCCAAGACCATATCCAATGCTTCAAAGAAGACCATGTCGTCAACAATCGCCGCAGTCGTCCAAACCAAGGACCAAATGCCATCCTGGACTTGACACTGGTCGATGGTGGAGCATGAGGTTGGTTAATATAGCATCAAGTAACCAAGGGGCAAGAAAACCAACGGCCACGTGACTACCACAGGGAATCGCCCATTTTTTAGTTATCAATATGTGAAGCTTGTGACCGCAGCATTCTCCGCAAGAGCGCTCGTGGAAACTTCAGAAATCTAGTTCAAGAGGTACAAAGGCTACAGCGAGTACCTTGTTTGGGGCTAGATGCCTACTGCTACGATTGTTGGCGCTTTCAAGATCAGTACCCTAGAGAAGGCTTGGAAGCGGCATTATGGTCAACACAGGGCTTCTGCAGGTATGGTTATCGCACTCTAGGTAATTAGACAGATTTAATTAATGATTACTTTGGAATTATAAATGATCTATGTAAAATTCTTGAGAGATTGTGCAAACTTTCAATCGAGGTGTTGCAGGACATAAGACATATCGCTCGTGCAGGTGGTTATATAGATAAATAGAACTACAGGCACAACATTTGTCAGATCGTGTCATGATTGTAGTTCTTGTTTACTTGAAATGGGCACAGCACAAAAGTGTTCCACAACTGGTCCTACAAAGTGGATATTGACATGGAACAAGATACTCGCATCATAGTAAATTTCATGATTCGTCGTCGCATCTCATGAACAAGGAAAGATAGACTAGAAATGCCATAGCGCAATTTTAGGCCTCTCAAACAAAAAAGAATGAGCCTGCTTTGAGCAAGACTACACGCGGAGCCAATCGAATGAAAGCGTCTAGTAGCGATATCTAGTCGAGTAGTCTGCCAAATCGTTAATTTATAAGCCCGAATGAGACCACACCAAAAGATAGAGCTTACCTTTGGGACTCACGACGAGACCACGTCCTTTCTTAGCACCCTTATAGATAGTCTCAATGATGTCGATCAACTCCTGCTTGTCCTCAAGCACCCAGTTCAACTTGTTGTTGTTACCGGTACCGAAATCGCACATCATATGCTTGTTCCTCCAGAAGAACATGATGGTCATGGGATCGAAAAGTTCGTACATGGAGTTGAATTCAGGTACCTCGTCAATGTCGCAGAGGTAGATTACCGCGAAATCTGATCGCAGATGTCAGTGTCATCGACTGTGACCGAGGGAACAGAACATTTAGACTGAACTTACTCTTCACACGCTCAGCGATCTTAAAGAGCACCTCATCTTGACGCATGCCTGCCCGAGATTAGTATTGCCCACCAGAAAAGATAGAGGGGCAGCAATCTCACAATCAACGTCATGATCGCGACCAAATCTGATAACCTATGTTTCGAATGGCGAATGTCAGTCAGTTGAAAAGAAACCGAACGTAAATTTGCTTACATACCACAAGTCTGTCCTCCTCCGAAAGGATAGCCTGATCAACGTGCCAGGCAGAGCGCAGATGTGGCAAGACAACAGAACCCATGTTGTAATGTGCTACTCAAAGATGAATTGGAAGTATTGCAGATGGTTGCAGTTGTAAATGATTCCCAGTCCTTAATGTCACGTGCAATCAATTGAGACTGTTCTAGTTCTCGCACTTACGCTTGAGCTTGAATGTATGTACCTTAATACTCTCGGGAGAGCTCAGGAGATAAAGCTTCTAGAATGTTCACGCAAAAAGACAAATCTCACCTAATTTCTTTATCTACGAGTGACATCACAAGAGACACATACAGGCCAGCTATGAACGTCCAAACTCCCACACCTCAAGAGAACCACATTTTCTTCTCCAAACGGTCGGACAAGCCGGCCAGATTGATGAAAAAAAGGTGGTTCGCGTCAATCGGGGGTAGTGTAAGCCCGATGACACTGTGCGGCGAGGTATGCGCAAGCACAGAGGCCTCGCCGCTGGGTCCAAAAATGAGATTAATCAATGTTGTGTTCCTTAGAACACTTTCAGAGATTAAACTGAAAAGAACAGATACTACACTTGATCTAAGCCAAAAGGCAAAGAGAGCTGGAGAAGAAAAGAAAAAAAAGTCTAAAATTTTGGGGGGTCGCGAGGGTATATATACATGGTGTAGTTGGTCCGTGCGACGCTAGCACACTAGCCTTGCTTTTTCGCGGATAAGCGAGGCACAGTCAGCAAAATCAGCTGATGCAGCTTGACCCTATACTCAGTTTCAAGCCCTGACTATTTCCTAAATCAGTCTAGTCACACGCACCGCCAACCGTATGCGATCCATCCTAGTGAGACTCCACTGCTAGCGAAAAGTTTCAACTACAATTCTCTCTCAAGGCGCAGGATAATCACCTCTTTGCGACCACTTAATCCCTCTTCATCCTCCCAAAAAACACCACCCATCAGTCACAATGGCCCCCGTTGCTGTATGTTATCACTCCACAAACTGCTTTGCTGTTCCTCCTTGAGGACCGGACATGGTGCGCTTCTTGTCTACAATCGCGGATTTTCCACAGTCCAGCAGTTGTAAGATAGAAGATGTTCATCATGGACCTCCTCGGGATCCGACTTATGGAACAGTAGGCTAATGGCTTTGTTTTCTCGGTAATAGGCTCGTGGTCGCAAGGCCCAGAAGGTCACCAAGAAGGTATGCAATGATCGCATTCAATATTCAACATACGGACGAGTTGCTGACTGTGGTTCCTGTAGTACATCATCAACGCTTCGCAGCCCGCGAGCGACAAGATCTTCGATGTCTCTGCCTTCGAGAAGTTCCTCCACGACCGCATCAAGGTCGAGGGCCGTGTCGGCAACCTCGGTGACAACGTTGTCATCTCCCAGGTTGGTGAGGGCAAGATCGAGGTTGTCACTCACATCCCCTTCTCTGGTCGCTACCTCAAGTACCTGTAAGTCCATTGTGCACAGCTTTAGCTTGAGAAGTCAAGGCTCTAACGTTGCGCAGGACCAAGAAGTACCTCAAGAAGCAGCAGCTCCGTGACTGGCTGCGCGTTGTCTCCACCTCCAAGGGTGTCTACGAGCTCCGCTTCTACAACGTCGTCAATGACGAGGGCGAGGAGGAGGAGGAGTAAATTATTCCTCAACAACGAATCAAAAAAGTTCAATCTTTTGGATTCATGGACACTCGCATGAGGGGAGCGACTTCTTTCAGGCGGGAATGTGCTATGGGTCTGCTCGTGCGATAGGCGTGCTCGATGAAGGATTACGTTCCGGCTACTGGTGTTTTGAGCTCTAAAATTGGGTTGACTCACAATACCTGAAAAGGTTGTGGTTCACCTGTTTATGTGAGGCTTTTTGTCAGTTATGGGTGTTTTCCTTCTTCTACTCATGACGTTATGACTGGTAGAAATGAATTGACTCGAACTATTGCCCGAAATGCTCTTTGGTGCTTCCAAGTCTGCGTAGATGCCGAATATATGCTTAATTCCAGAATTCTCTAGGGTATCATTGATTTCAAGCCATCACTCTGTATCTTTTCTTTTGTGGCCGGCTCCAGGCCCAAGCTTCGAATCCTCTGCCGTGTCCTTTGTGCCAGGCGGAGGTATGAGCTTGCTGTCCTCTATCCGCCATCCCTTGGACTTCAAGATCTTCCAGGTTTCAGAAGCCTTGACCCTGA